CACTTCCACAGCCACACAAACCTGCTGTGGCACGCAGAAACCTTCGACATATCCGCATGGTGAGCAGACTCACTGCTTGGGTCAGTCAGGATCCAACTGGGAGTAACATCTGAGCAAACTGACTCACCTGAAGACTTGCAGCACCTCATTGTTCATGTATCTTGGAAGAGAGGAAGATGGCATTCCTCCAAACAGCTTTTACTCAGAGGATCTCAAAGATTTGTCTTCCCTTACTTTTTTGCATACGTAAGTGATTATCAGGATCCCATCAGCTTTTACCAAGTAACTATAGCAATCTCAAGATCCATGTTCCTTCTTTCCCCCAGTTTCATACATACCGGAGCTCACCACTAGTCGCACTGCTACAGGAAGGCACAAATGGGAACAGGCAACTTTTAAGCTAGCTACTGCCAAGGGAAAGGCCTGGAGAACTGTCGGGGCAAGGTGTCCTTCAAAGTAGTTTTTGGAGTCCACAAATCGATAAGATGGTCAAGGTGGGGAAATCCCTAAATATACTAAGAATTAAAACCAAAGCAGTTCAAAATAAATTGATCTAAATTTTAGAGTGGTCTGAAATGTAGATGAATTTGATCAAGCACCACCATGCTAAAAATGCCCCTGTAACTGCCATTTTCTGGCTCTTTTATTCCTATTTCCTTTTCAAGTGGGTAACTGACACAAACTTTGGGCTTCTAAAGAACCAGTAAGGCCACTGGAATTTTAATTCCGGTACTACTCAGGACATTGTTCGTTTAGTAACTTGCAAGGAACTCCTGGTGTTAGATAACTTCTCTGGGTTCATCTCACACACACCAACAATCAACATCTGAATATTAATTAGGCTCATAGCAAATTATGACAGTAACTTTGGCACAGGAAAATCTACAACTGTGATGTATTACAAAGCTGTTTTCAACTTACAGATGAAACCATGAACACATATCTGTACGAACTGCTGGCAAACGACTAATAGAAATATAGTCAAGACACATTTACACTTAGGTCACTACACCTGGAAAATATTTTTGAGGAAAACTTATGGAAATGCTACAGCTAGAGAATAAAGCCCTCAAATTTTGCACTTTCGAGAAAAAGTTTCAAGACAAGGTAAACTTGATTCTTAGAAAATTATTTTGCATTGTTAAGTAAAAGAATAAAGCTCCAGGTGTCAGCAGAATAAATAATCACTACTTTTGGCACTGTAGCAGTAGCTGGAATAATTAAATCTATGGAGTTTTACATAGGTAAATATACTCCCTTCTTGAGTAATTACATACTTTGTAATCTCCCATAGATTTTACTCTTCAGGAAATACAGTTCGAGTTGCACATTCAGTGTTAACATTTATCATGAGTTTTAATATTCACTGAGGTGTTGAATGGCTGGCTGCTTTTATTTACAGCACATTTTCAAGATGAGACTATTTTCTACTCACTTGCTCACATGATATTTAGGACGCGCTCATGATGACTCCAGATATAAACCAGAAAAGGTTCGTTTCAAAAGTAGATTTAAAAAGCCACCAACCACTGGACTACTAATTATTTTCTAAAGATTACGCTTTAGAAAAACAAATTAATTATAAACATTTAAAAACGTGAGCTGCAAATTCTGAGGAAGCTGCCCAGAACATGGAAGTCAGTGAGCTGAACCACATTATGTCTCACTAACAGGAGGATTTACATACATTTCAGCTTCCTTTCTGCAACAAGGTGTAAGACTGACAATTAAAAAAATTAATAACTACTTAGCCTTTAACTATAAACACCATTTGAACTATTCTTTATAAAGAAAAAAGGAAGAAAAAAGAAGAAAAAAACACCCTTAACAAATCAATCTAATGTCAAACAGGAAGATATTTAAACATTTCAGCTTATTTAGGTATCCCAGATGGTCTTTGGTAAGATACCAGCAGCAAGACTACAAGAACATTCAGTATGTGTACGTCTCCCTCCTGATTTCTGCAAGAAGAAAGACAACCAAAGTGAAGAACATACTTTTGTATTATCGACCATGCTTCAGCAACTATGCTAAACACAGTTTCTAGCTGACAGTAACTCAAATTAAACTTTTGCCTATTTCTCCAGTGCCCTCCTTGGCGTGGCAGCTGCCGCCCCGCAGCCAGAGCACTGCCCCTGAGCCAGAAGGCAAAGGAAACACATCCTTGCACAGATTTCCCATGTACAGTGCAGAGGAGAGTTAGAAAAAAAAAAAATACATGAAGAACCCTTTACACATGTATGTTGTTCTGCTTATCCTCAGGCACACAGACTCTGCTTCAGCTCCCCTGGAAGGCAGCACGGCAAACCAGGCCCACTCCAACAAAATAAGCTTCCAAACTGGCAGGCAGAGGCGGCCGGGGAAACGCTCGGGTACTACAACAAAGGTTACAAAGCACCTCAAGCGGTCTGCTCTTCCCCCGGTACTGTGAAGGGAAACACAGGGTAAGCGTCAAGAACGGTGATAAACTGCAGTAGTTAGATTAAACATTTATTTTTCATATATTCACAAAATCTTCACAAAAGTATTGAAACTCAAAAAGGAATTAGACTTGAGTCAAATACAGAGATGAAATGTACAAGACAAATGAGCAGGCAAACTAAAAGGTCTTGAAAGTATTTTACTTCAGATTGAAAAACGAACAGTTCAACTGTTCTGTTTAAATAAAGATTTGCAAGATATACAGTATTTTATGAATACAATGCTGGTCATTTGAGGCAATGTAAAATACCTCAATTTTTCCTTCATGCTTTTTTTTTTTCCACTTTTTTTTTTTTTTCTCTTTTAGAAAGATACTGTTTACCAAAAAGAAACTTGAGCAGTCCAGGAAAAGCTATTTTCCATTAAATTTATGAAAACCATAAATTGAGGCAAACCTAAGATTCCCAATGGAATCAAGATTATCTTCCCGCTACCACCACCTTAAAATTATCACATGCTTATTGGAACACTAATATCTGCACCCTAAGAGTACATTTGCTTTCAACGATGAGGGTGATTCTTTGAAAAACACTTCAGTGTGGTAAATGCGATACAGATCTTTGCAAGTATTAAGTTTTGGAACAGTTTTGCTAATAGCAGCTAACAATACTGGATTAATATAATTTATAAATAATTGTTCCCTAAGCGGTGAACATAAGTCTACACATTCACAATAATCTAAAACAAAATAAATACTGTTATTATGCATAATGTGGTACAACTTTTACTAGTTTCTAAGAACAAAACTCAACACCTTGTTGATAAAATTATCTGATCAAATTAAAATAAGAATCTAAAAAATTTAAAAGAAACGTTGTCAAATTAACATCACTTAAGCTTAGTGTCTGAGTAAATGTTATGACTTTTCATATTTTTGGAATACATATACTTTCCTTTTTGAAGTAAAACACTTTAATATGTTAAAAATGTTTATTAATTTAAGTGATGACATCAGTTCTGGTCTTATTTTAGCATTATTTTACTTTAAAGATCATTGCACTCATTAGTGCCTGTTAAAGGTCAGGTCGGTCTGTAGTATCCTCTAAATGTACATTAAAAAAAGTTTCTAGAAGCTTGCAGTACTTTTTATAAAAGCATCATCTCCAGAACAGCTGCATTAGATACAGCCACGTATGCCCAGTACAGACTTTCCTCTTTACAGAAATATGTGAAAGTAAATGCCACTTAACTTGCTACCACTGAAGTGTCCCAACTCCTGTTCCAAGCCACGCCTGGGAGTGTAATTACACATTGAAGCGCATTCATGGCATCGAAGTTACTGCAGCCTAGACTTGTAACGCGACTGAACCAGACAAATGCGGAGCTTAAATTAAAGGATTAAAGGTCAATGAAGAAATACCACCAGATATGAAAGGTTTGGGTCTTTAAGGCAATACAAAATATATTTCATTACTTGAAGTTGTTTTTTCTTTTTTCTTTCTTTTTTTAATAATTAAGTGTAAATATAAAAATGTCTAAGAGGGGAGTGAGAAAAAAATACTTTAATTGTAAAATTTACTTAAAGCTTCAACAGTTATAATCTCCTACAGGAGTTAGCAAAAATATAAAAGACAAAAAAACCCAGACCTGGAAGGGGGAGGGAAGGCACAAACAAAGAGGCATGGGATTAAAGCAGCCCAGGAATGCAAACGTCTGTAACAAACTGAGTTCTGTCGTTTGTTTTTTTAAAACCAAAAAGAAAAAGAAGAAAACAATCACCACCACCAACCAAACAAAAAAACCCACGTGGCCTTGTATTTCTTTAAAAAAAAGAATGTGTTGGGGAGAGACCACTAAGGGAAAGAAGAGAAGGATGCAACTCTAAAACCCCATTGCCTGAAATGATGGCACTCTAGAAAACAAGGTGAAGGTTACTTCTCGGAGATGACAAGCTCAGTGTCTCCACAAAGTACACGTACACTTTACACAAATGAAAAACTTCATTTGCCACCATAAACCTTTCTTTCAGAGGAACAGCTTTTGCAGATCAAATGTTCTATTAAAACTTTTAAATGCCAAAAAAAGAAATTCTGAGCAATATAACTAGTAATGTCTCTTTATATGGATGTTAAGATGACAATTCAGATTATTTTCCAAACTAATCCTGAGAAAAATTTATGTTTACAATTTAAACAGTAATGTTATGTAAAAAGTATTAACAAATCCACTATTACAAATGTCAGTTTTCCTATATGGTCATCTATATATACACAATAAAATGGTAAGTATATGCAAAAATAATAAAAAAATCATGCACAAATTACTTTCACCTTTAAAGGCTGGGTTTCCCTCAAAATACAATTTTTTGCTTTTTTTTCCTATTTTGTTTTATTTGTTTGTTACCACCCCCTAGACACACTGAGTACTACCTCTACAGGTCAGCATGAGCTGATGGGAAATACATTTATTTTACATTCAAGCTTTTATATCCTAAATGACCCTGTTGTAGCATATGACTTATCAAATGAGCAGCCTTTTTCCTCTTTTTTTTTAAAATGTTTTTCTTTTTAATTTTTTTCCTTTTTTTTCTTTTTTTTTTTCCTTTTTAAAATTTTTTTTTGCAGTGATCAATCTTCATGATCCGTTCCGTGGCGAGCTGGGAAAAAAAAAATGCAGTTGCTAATCAATGTCTGAACAGTCTGAAGCTCCGGAAGAGATCCAAGGAGTCACTATCAAACTATCCTGTAGCATGAGATCATTGCACACAGAAGAACAGTCATAAAATAGGCAACTATCTACAAAGGTCTGAAAGGGCCGCATCCCTCTTGTGTTTCCTCTTTTTGCCGTGGAAAAACTGATGGTGTGATTTGCTGCCTTGATGCTGTTTGTTTGTGACTGAGGTACCGTGGCTTGAGTTTGTTGGACCTTGGAAGCCTTTGTTAGACGAGCGAAATAACCGTGCAGATCCATGCTGTAAAAGAAAGAGAACATGGTAAATTAGTGCTAAAGAGAAAAAAAATGCATGGCAATTACACAACCCTGTTTCTTGACAATGAGGACGTTAACTCACCAGAGTGTTACACTTGAAAAAATTCATATGGCAAAAGAAGCTAGGCCATTGGTTAGACAGCAGCACAGCACCATGAATCTTCCACTTTGGTGGTTGCAAACAAATGTTCATCTCTAGACCCAAAACCGTACGGGTCAAGAGAGAAGAGGAGAGCACTTCTAATTTCGAAAAGGACAGGACTGTTCTGTCACTCCCATTTTCCAACCACCACAGAAGTGTTTACAGAAATATAAATCTGTAATCCAAGGTGCCAGCTGAAGATGGCATCGGCTTCTGTGCAAAATTACCACAACACAGTTTTAAGACCAGGACTAATGTTATACCCCATCTTTTTACAGATGTAGAGTATCTCAGATGGTGCATATTCACATTCCAGTACCAGAACGAGCTGTGTGGAACACTGCAGCTGCACACTTCATGGCATGGCTGAGGCCTAGTTTGTAAACTGGCTCGTTACTAGCTAGAGATGGATCATCAGCAAGCAAGAGGCAAATCTTCAGAATTACTTTCCAGGAATAATATTTCAGAAGATTCCGGACTATTTTTCATACATTAAAGAAGTCCTAAATTCTGAAAAAGCATAAAAATTTAAACTGCATGTATCCTAAGTATTTTTTATAGAGAGGCATATAATATTTCCTGATTACTGAGCTGTCATAGAAGCATCCTTTAAGATGAGAAATCCCTTACATGCATATGCTCTGGTACGTCTCATCATAATGGTATTTTTGTCTTTAGGTAGAAATGGGAGGAAATTTCATGTATCAGCAAGAAAACCTCATCTCCCTTAATGACAGACAGTTCAACAAGTATCAACAGCTAACAGAGCAGCCGGGTTTTTTTGCTAACTGTTTTCCACTCTGTGTAGGCAAGTCTCATTAGTTATCAAATTCTGTCGTAAAGACTGAAGTGCTTTTCGCAAAGAGGAAATAGGTGTGATGTACATCTGGATTTTCCAAAACAAAATCAATCCAATTTTATCCGGTTTACAAGTGGGAAAGCCACTGTTGCAAACTCAGCTGTGTAAGCCAAGCAGAGACCAGGTGATCTGAGATAAAATCAGTGCTCAGAGCTTTCTAGTGGTTTAAAGAGGAGGTGAAAAATGCAGCGTTCCCTTTCCAGAGCAAGCTACCTTTCTGTGGAGGACGTGTAATATTCAAATAACTTGTACAGTTGTTGTTTGCAAACATTTCACAAACCTGAGATTTGTTCGTGTTGCTGGATGTATTGGCTGTTTGGCTATTTTGTGTTTTCCCACTTGACTGGGAGGATTCCAGTGACACTTCTTGTGACCCCACTCTGTTTGTGGTAGACTGACGACAACTCAACTGTTTAGAGGTTTTGCAAGGTGTTCCATCAGAATCCTTCAGGAAAATGTAAAGTATTAGTGAGTTTTTTGTAAGAGTGAGTTTTTCTACAAGTGAATTTTCCCTTAAAAACAAAGCTAGCAGTGGACAAAACTCAAAGCGTGTTTATTTTATTAGATACAAAAATTCTTTCAATCCAGAGATCTTACTGAGTAAAATGGAAAGATTTAAAAATGAATTGCTGCACAATTCTGATTTTGGGGTTTGCTTTTTAATTTTTAAAGAGAATTCCCAAACAGATTATTAAGGCCTCTTTTTTTAAAAAAAAAAAAGCATATGGCTTAGAACCACCAATTTTATTTTTTTCCAAATACAGTTTTCCTAGAGAAAAGAGGGCTATGTAAATTTGTACCCACTGTATTCACTTTCTGCATGCGGTGAGTCAAAAACACACTGCAACTTACATGTGCATAAATTGCATAAGAGGCAACATCTTATGCAAGTTAGGATTCTGGATGAAATAACTAACTAGGACAATGAGCTTTCAAAATGTATTCTGTGGCAATATACATCAGGAAAAAAACCCCCAAAGTAACCAAAAAACAAAATCGGAAAACCTCCAGTACTTACTACATCACTAGAGCTGGACAGTGTAGACGAAGATGATGATAAAGGACCTGATGAAGAATTTGAAGAATGTTTACTAAGGGTTTCTGAAGTTTTATTTCTAGGTTTTCCCAGTGCTTCATTCTCTTCAGCAAGATTATTGTTGCATTTGTCTAGCTGCTGAGTATCTACTATCAAGGTTACTCCATTACCTATTAAAAACAAAAGAGAAGCATCATTGTACATTAGCTGCTAAAATATGCTGGGTTTTTTTGTAATATACCCACTCCCATATTATACACCTCTGGTACCCAGCAGGACACGTACAGACATGTGCAGGCGCACACACACACGTGCCCGTGCCTGTGCGCCCGCCCTGCGTGCAACAAGCCAACGCCTCGCGGAGCGTGTGCTGGTTTCCTGGCAAGATCCATTAACGAACGCTCTGCAAACCGCCAAGCACTACCCACAGTTCAAGATAGAAACTAGACAGATAACACATGGAAGAAGGCAGTAACAAAGTTCAGACGTGCTGCTTAGTAAGATTGTTTCGTGGCACGCTTGAGCAGCACTCAACTGCACAGCCTGAAATTCTGGTCCTGTATGCCCAATGCTCAGCAGCTGGAGCTGCTAGGGTCCTAAGAACTTCCAGTAAGTCTGGTTGCTTTATATGATACCCTACACTGAACATATGAGATACAGAGCTCTCATATCTCACTAGTTTCTACCTTAATTAAATAAAATAAAGTTTGAAACTTAAATCTAAACTAGATGTACAAGATGACCACTACAACTGTCATCATTAACTTCCTGATGCAAGGTTATTTTTATTTTTTAATTACTGCTTTACATAAGACATCTAGGAGTTACTCTGATTTATATAATGTACATTTGTTGCCCCATTAGGTGTATTTGTATATAAAGTTTACGACATACATCACAACGGGTAGCTAAGGATAGCTCTGGAGCTCGTGGGACTGAACCGTGGTCATCTGCCGTTACCGGGGGCGCAGCAGTGCCACAGGGCTCTACCGACCACCCAAACACGAAGGGCCCAGAAGCACATTCGATTCACAAAGACAGTGAGGGAAATTACTGAGAAAAGCTTTTAAAACATATGAACAAAATCCCAGTCTAACCAAAAGACTGGGTAGCTCTGTTGTCATCTCTCATTAATCCCTAAGAAGACTCCTAGTAGGCAACATTCTAAAATTAATTGGAAAGTATTAAATTTTAACTTGAAAACTTCCAGCCAGGAGATGCACCTACATCAAGGGAATGGCAACTGCCTGGTGAAGTCAGAAGATGAGCAGTTAAAATGATGATTATAAAGAACATTTTCAGCAAGTTCTATGGCAAGATTTTGTGTGTTTTCATTTGTTAGTGACAAGAATTATGATTGATACTTCTCACTTAAATGGTCAATCCTGGTTTAAATACTGCTTCCGTCCACATACAATATATTAAATTTTAAAATGAAAAATAAAAGAACCACAGAGGGTAAATATTTAGATTTAAAGCACCATTTCCAGTAATCCTTTTTAAAAGGTTGTCCACATCGAAAGGACACAGGGAGGGTGACAGTAACAACATGTGTGACTTAAACTGTAAGTTTTTTAGAAGTCTCCTTTTGCAAGCCAGTGCTCTTTACAGACCTCTATGCCAACCAAATCTATCGGAGTAGAGCAAAGACGTGGTACAGCTATTTTACTCTTGCACAAATCTAACTGTTCTGGATGAGAACACAAGCACAATTCCATCTGAGCAAAAAAGTAAATTCATACTAAGATGCACACATTGCCTTACATGAGGCAAAAGCAACAACACAATCTACATGATGAAAATATGCCGGAAGCTTCCCCCGCCAGCCGTGCTCAGGCAAAACTCACCGTTACACGAAGACTCTGTCCTACTCTGCATTCCCCACTGCTTTGATATCCAGTCTCTGTATGTTGCCACTTCTTGCGTTACTCTAATGATTCTACCCAATATACTGTAAATCAGGAAAAAAACCAAAACCGTCACCACAACTCATTTTTAGACACACAAAAATATAAGCAAGTAATGTCTGAGATTCAGACTCAAAGAACTTACCTTTCCGTTTCGTTGTTAGGGTAATACTTAGCTATTGGGGAAACTGCATGGCTCAAAACAACATAGGCATAATCAAAAGCCTGTTTTACTTGCATGGCACCATAGGAACTCCTCCCAACATCATTACCTTAAAATAAGAATATAACTAAATAAATAAACAAGACCAAAACCATGGTTAACTCCTTTCAGATAGGAGACAGTAATATTTTTTTAACTTGCCCTTAGGTCCCAACAGACTGCAATTACCTCTTGTAGAACAGGATTAATGAAGTGTAAGTATTTGAAGAGCTTCAAAGACCTATAGATATTTACATGCACAGAAGCCCAAAATGGCAATTCTCTGAGTAAAAGTGCAATACATGAAGGAAAAAAAACAAAAATCCTGCACTGCATACATTACAAATGTAAGAGTACTGTCCTGGATGGCATTTTCCAAGATCAGAAATACGTTAACTCTTTTCCACGAACAGCACTTGGCTCACCATTTTGGAAACCACCTATGCAAGTCAACCATCAACCTTAACCTAACGGTACAGAATTAAACCACTACGTATTTATGTGATCCTACAGAGCCAAACAGGAGAGAGCGCCCAGGAGCGTGTGTATATTAATAAAGTGCAAATGGGACATCGGCAAGCACAAGCTTGAAAGGGACCTTGCCCATGCTCAGGCCCACGTGGCCTCTCTGCTGTCACCGCTGAGCACGTGGGGGTTGCTGGGGTGCCTTCCCCTGCTCTGGCCCTCACTGCAGTACTGGCAGGCTCTTGGGTGAGACGTCTTAAGAAAATTGTTGTGTTCTGGGTGCATCTTGTGGTCACAGATATGAATGAGGTGTTTCTGGATTTTGGTGGTCATTCTCTGCCATTCTTTGATTTAACTCCTCTGGATTAAGCATTTCCCTGACTTCTTTTCTTAGCCAGTATGCTAAATCTTGGTTTATGAAGGATACCTGGCTGTAACGGATCCTCGATATACAGCATTGATGGTCTGTAGCCATCCAGCATGCTTTTTTGTACTTCATCCTTGGCAACGTAAGAGCCACCATCCTTTATTCGGATTCCAGTCTTCAGATAATTGAAGTGACGTCCATATAATTCAAAAAACTCTATTAAAAGAACACCATAGTTGGCATTGGGCATACAGGCATCTTCCCTGGGATGCAGCTATTAAGAAGAGAGAAGAAAAATCATTTTCTTAAGACTTCAAGTTTCAAGTACCTTTAAGTGCCTTTTCTTTTTCACAGAAACATGTCTAAATACAATAATAACATATAACATATAAAGCAAAGATGTCTAAATATGCCATTTTCCATTGATAAAGCAGTTTTGCATCTTTAAAACAAGACTTTATGCAAACTTCTATAACCTATTACTTCTTAAAAATAAAGCTGTCAAGTATTAATGTTTTTGTATTTGAAATTTGAGTTCAGCAAGAGAACTTTCAGCACTAATGGTAAGGTTCTTGTAAAAAAGCAAGGGTATTTGCACTTCACACGCCTGGATTTGCAATACAAATACAGGCTTCTAGCACATACAGCTATAACATGTTATCCCCTCTACTGTTAAGGATTCAGCCTGAGAGATTATGAACAAAACCAGTTCATAGTTGTAATGGATACAAAATCTGACTTCTTTTTTGTTTTTTTGCAGAGGCAAATGGAAATGCTAGTATCAATGTAAGAAAAAATTAGGAGAGATTCTTGTTTCTTTCAAAAAGGTAGGCCTGTTGCCTTAATTTCTTTTGTGCTAAGCAGACAATTGCAATAGCACTCAGCAAACATAGAGTTCCATTTCAAAACTCAGGTTTAAAAGTAACTACTATCTGGAAAAGTACAGATATACACAGACACAGTTATACAATAACATTTAGTACAAGAAAAAGAGGTTGATAAAGCCAGAACTCAGCTACCTGGTATTTCTACAATATTCCTCTCCCCCAGGCAGAACAATATAGATTTAGCTCACGCATTTTGATCTCTCTGATTTAAGAGAAAGTTTTAAAGCATGTTTATTTGATACCAGCTTAAAAAAACTAGATGAACAAGCAAAATTCCGTTGCATTCACCAAAGCACATACAGTGTGTATGACCTGGAAAACAAGTGTTATAAAGGACAGCTGCATCTAACACTGTAGCTTGTTCCAAATAAGTCACATAATAATAAAGTTATTTTACCATGAATGACCCATGCGCCTGATATGGACACACCAACAGATGTTCTAACCATCTCTAATTCCAAAAGCACCAGTATAGAGGAAAGACCAGAAAATGGAAGAAAGAACAGAAAACAGGTGGATATGTCTATTTTTGAATGAAAAGGGGCTGCAAACGAACAAACAGGATAGCTTAAATGATTAAAGTTAAGGATTGATTAAATTCCTTCTTAATGTATGTCCTTTTGCACCAACAGAGGTCATTAAGCTTACCTGAAGGAAACTGACAGCCATTAAAAAAAGACTATAAGAACCGATTCCACCTGTAAATACTTCATTAAGGTCCCTCTGCAACAGGAACTGTTTCAATACTAAAACTAGATACGGTAACACAGGATATTTCTGAAACAGAAAAACAAAGGTGTTAGGACACTGTGATGCATATATACAAGAGATGCTAGGACAGCATATTGAAGCTATCTGGTACATTAAGGCTCAAAGCTAAGTATAATTTTAAGTTATTCTTTTTAGTAACAGGAAAAGTCAAGTGCTCTGCCTGTGATCAACATGGTTATTTTACCTCTTCAATTCCGGTGACATAGGTTAACAGGAGAAAAAAGTTATTACCTCATAAAATCAGACTGATTTTGAATATATAAATATGCTTCCTTTTCTTATACAAGTAAAAAGGAAAATAAAGGAAGAACTATGCAGATATCCACATCTGTAACATCCTTTCTGCTACAACCAAGGTGACACTCCAGTGTGGACTGAGACTTCTGTCCTGCAAGCACTTCAGATGTCCAGTTTGAAACAGTATTTCAGAGTTAGTACATCCAGATAACATTTTCAAAGGAACCAAATACTTACATTTGTGTAACCGGGCACAAGAGTCCTCACTAGCGCAAGGCTTAAGCAGAAGGTTTAGAAAAGCACACAGGTAAGACTACTCAGACTACTCTACTGAAACCAAGGACAGAGATTTTTCTCTTGTGTCCTTCCACACGTTAAAGAAATAGACCCTGCAGAAGCAACCTGAGCTACTTTCATGCGTGCTAGTAAACATACATATTTAATATAGACTGAAAAACAAGATTCAACTCATCAGCAATTGAAAAGCCCCCAAAATTTAGAAGTCTTCTTCTCAGTGACATCATTAAAGCAGATGTATGATTTTAACCTTTGTGATTGAGAGTCAAGCGCTTGCTTTATTCAAATTTACAGTTTTCTGAAGGAGTTTTACTTGTCTAGCTACTGAAATATTTTGATTCTCCTGCTGTCCATTTATTCAGTTAAAATGAAGGACAATATGGAAGCACTTAAGTGAGACTGAACTGTGCTTCATCTTCCTCCACAAAACATGAAAACCCAAGAAAATTTTCTACAGTTTTTATGAGACATTTGCTATGAGTGTCCAATGCACTTGAATAGAGGAAGGAAAGGAAAAGAAAGGAAAATAGTGTAAAGATACTTTGAATCTTTAAATACAAAAGCACTTTAATCTTAACAAAATGTTCCCATACATTAAACACAAATAGCTGTAATGTATCTATGACAGAGATATTACTGAAGCCCTGAACAGTAATGTAGTAAATATAACTTATCCTACTTAATTAGCATCTGTAACTGAGAACACATTCAATCTAGAACAAGATTATTCCTACTTTCTCAGGTATATGTGGTTATTTACTAATTCTAAGTTCAAGGAACCACAGTTGCAAGTGCAGGTATTACTGCGTTTTCCTTAAGTCAAGGTATCATTGTAACTTTTCTATACTTTCTTTGCACATTTTAGTATCTTCAGGCCTTTTGAAACAATATATCTAAAGAACACTTAGGCAGTAGTATGAGATAATAAAAAAGACCAGCGACTGAAAGTGTATTTCTCATAAGAATGCAGTTAAAGTAAAACAGAAAAGCAAATTACGTCATCAAATATTCAGCTCTGTAGTTCTATCACAGTGTTGCCTGACCTTGATAAAATCTTTGATGAGCTGGGCTGCTTTAACCCCGTTCTGTACATTAAAGCTTATATCAACTTTTACTTCAGTAAAGGAATCTGTCAGTTTAATAATAGGTACCTGCAAAAGAAAGACAGGTTAAGTCAATACAAATTTCCAAGACACATTCGGTTTCATTCATGCTTATATGCAACAGCACAACTGAAATAAATGGTTTATGAATTTCTAGAGAGAAGTTCAATAAAAGAGGACTCCTGTCTATTCAGGAACTCACTCTCCGTGCCAATCTGTTCACATATTTCTAACTCACAAATGCTGTTTTCAATTTACTATCCTGTTTAACAGAACTCAAAACTTCCATCTTCAAAATGATTAGTTTTAAATTGGTTTGAGTCAGGGTTCCTGGTGCAGAAGCACAGTTCTAGTGGGAAAAACAAACACCAGAGGGAGACAAATGCTTAAGAAATAAAAGGTAATACACAGATACTCTTAAGAAAAGACACACTCTTGTGTGACTCTGGGTCATTGCTTCCTCATGAAAATTATCTTCAAACGAGATGCACAAGATATTGAGAGCCCTCTGACGAATCTCCACCTGACTTTCTCTAATTACCTCTCTCTACTAATAATAGCCATCAATTAGATACCTCTTCAAACCCCAACACTCTCACATACTCTTAGAATTAACAAAACGTAGGAAGTGACAATGGAATTAATCCTATCCTGCATAAGACATACCATTACATATTTATACAAGGTCGTAAGCACTTCTATATGAAAATGTGTTATGCCTGCTTACTTGCAATAAGATAAAATGAATAATTTACTTATGTACAAATTCAGTCCAGAAATTCCGTCTAATCGCAGTAATTCATGACAATGACGAGTATAATCTCACTTAAAAGCAAGTGTACCTTGTGCAGAATGGAAAATCAGGTGACTTTCTCCAACAGAAAAAATGCTTCTGTTGCGGCACTACCAATTATTTTGTCAGTAACAAAAACTTACCAAATACAAAGGTTCTACTGGCTCTATTTCAAATTTATCTATAAAATAGCTTCTACTTATGAAAATGCATCCGTTTAACCAGGATCTTTCTTTGATTAGAAATTTAGCTTAGAACACAGAAACACCCTCTTCCCCCAAACTTACAGTTGCTTTATCTAAAACCTTTACTGAGTTTTCATCTGCTACATTGTGCTTTCTAAGAGCTTCCTCCAGGGTCCAAAGAGGTAATGTCTCCCATTTTCCAAACACAACTAAATCAATATCACTGAAATGGAAAGAAAATAAAGATTTACTCAAATTAAAAGCCCAATACACTTGAAAGACAAACAACTGACATCCACACATAATTTGAACAGAGCTGACAGAATGTAGCTTAACCAAATAATTTATTCTTAATATTCTGAGGAAAGGGGTGGGGATGAACTCTTGCACTTGAGCAACCACAGAGCATTTCAGATTAGCAAGCGCAGGGGACAGACACACACACAAACCAATTGGGCTGCAAAGCTGGAGATCAGTCTCCTCAGGCCACGCTGTCAGCAGAGAGAGATCGGCTTCTTCAGAGTGATTTGGAGCAAGAAATTAACTTCTTGTGAATCACCCCCTTTGGGCTGTAGTAATCAGTACCACCGATTTCACAGCTTCTCACTGAACGGGGAAGTCCCGCTGCCCATCCTCTACAGGCCTTTCTCCTCCTTTGCTCTAGGTACGCTGTTTGCCTAATCCACAGCAAATCAATCCAACACTCTAATAGGCCTGGTGGAAACCAGCCTCCTTCCCCTCCAATTTAGAAAAAAAACCACAAAAACATTCTGGGGTAATTTCCTGCTTCTTTGCATCTCAAGAGTTGGTTTTCTGGGTGATCAGAGCCCCAGTGGGCATATGGTAAGCAGCTGGCCCACAGTGCCAAGAACAGGGCACAGGGAAGAAGAATAAAATGTGGCAACTTCAATTTCAGGAAGCAACAGGCTGTTAAATAAGATCAAACCATCTAATTAACTTCACTCATTAGCTCAGCTCCTTGAAGAGGTGTCTCCATCTCACTACACTTCCTCCCTCTGCACACACATTCATTCAGCTACACAGGGAGCTGACACTCTAATTCAATGCCTAAACTCAAATTCAGAAAGTGACTGGTGTCCAAACAGAAGCCAGTGAAGGCTACTGTGAGAGCCTGAGCTCTTTCCTCTTTGCTCCCCAGCTGTTTGTTTTGATTTCCCCTGCTTGCTGGAAACACAAAGGAGGCGAGCATATAGCCCTGTAGTTACACTAGCAGGCCACTTCAGTGACACTGGAAAACTGCGGAACAGAAAACACCACAGAGTCCCCCCTCAACAGATTCTTCAAGTCTGCTGATTCACAAACACCCCTGCTTCAACAATCTCAAAGAAACTACATCTGCGTTAGATAAAGTATCTCTTGCCAGCGAGCAGTGCCAGCAGCAGGCAAGTTCAGCAGCAGTTCAGCTGCATACCACTGAGCTGACAAGGACAGGCAGCACTCAGCCAGCTTCAGGAAACTGTTCAAAACCTGCTTGGAGAGCAGGAAATACTGCTGGACACTTCTGAACCAAACTAAAGTTAAACCTGCTACTGATGCTGACAGTTAACAACGGGAGCCATTTTTCTGATGCACATGAAGCAGTTCCGCTGTCACCTGCAAAATAACACGGAGATCCAGCAGCTCAACCCAAACCCTCAGTATCAGCTTAAGCGAAAGGAATACTGGGCAAATTCTGACACAGAGTAACAGAATCAAAAAGACACTGTGGGTCTTTTTGAATCCTAGAACCTGAAACCTAAATTAACTATACTGCTACTGACAGGTAGAGAAAACCTAGGGCAAAGGGAAGCTTTGACAGAAGGCAACAGTGTAATGGCCAACATGCAAATGCTGGTTATATTTAAAGTCTGGCAAGTACTGCCACAGGAAGGTTCTTCTGTGGGTTTATGCGCTGTGTCTAAGTGGTCTGCATTTGTTCTCCCCCAAAAACTCAGCTGAAACAAACCTTGAGGAGAGGCAGTGTACAAAACCAAACAGCCAGCAGCAAAGTGGTGTTGTTACACCAGTTTCCCAACAATCAAGCAAACATAGAGAAGAACTACTGCTATCAGTCCTGTAGACAGGAATATCTCTCTCTTGCATTATCAGCATCCAATCAAGTTTAATCAAGCTTATTTAAAAATCAATGAAAAAAGACCACAAATGGGGCCAAACTGAAAAAAATGTGTATTCTGATTTTCCAAACAGAAATGAGCAATTCAGCTTTCCAGCAACTCCTTAGACTAAAGTAGATACTATAGCATCTGTCAGGCACTTTCCTTTTGAAAGAGAGATGAAATGACAACTCGGGTATCCACCACTTGCAGTCAGGACTAGTTATTAGTTCCTCGTGTTCCTGAAGTCAGGACCTCGACTCACATTACTATTTAAACGTGTTTATCCCCTGCAGCTATTTATGTCTTTCATTCAGTTTCTACTTAATTGTCAAAAATACTATTTCTACACAGAAGATACTACTGTCACTGAGTAATGACTTTTCTTTACGAAAACTAGTAATTTGGAAAAGAGAGATGTTGACTATTGTACAGACTTCACAAAAGATGCACACAAAATTGTATTTTCTTTCATCCAATCTTTTCTGTTCAGTGCTAACATTATCATTAACAACATAACACTAAATGCTTCAATGTAATCATCTGTGGAGATGAAATTCTAGCTTTTCTTTTAACGCTAATCTCTCATTTTGGTTCAGTCATTTAATGAAGCCAAATCACGAAAGAAGCTTTTTTTGACAACGTGGTAATTCAGATCTCTCACCAACACATGCAAAATCTATACAGACACATATATTTTAATTAACAGTCTTAATTACTGTATTTCCATACACTTTGCAGAGTACTAATAGCTTATCACTTTCTTAATATAACAGATACACAAATAACACAGGTATTGAGAGATCAGACAAATCACTGCTATCTTTTCTCTTGTATAGATTTTACACTGAAAAAATACTAACCTTGTAGGTAAGTATAAACCAGTTTTAAAACTTCCAAATATCTGCACCTGAAACACAAGAAAAGGATATATGAAAACAAATTTTCAGGCTTTAGAACACAAAGCAGCTCTCCTAAACTGTTTGTAAAGGCTGGTTACTGCTACCCTCCATTGGCAGACTTTGGTATTGCTGAGAGGAACATCCTGAACAGAAGCACTCTTTTCTCTTAAAGCACTTCGGTCTTCAATGTAGTATAAGCAGTTAATCTTCACCGTTATTACCCACAAAAGGTTAGTAACTTTGACTTTTCTATTGCAAAACCTTCTTTGCAATGTAAAAATTTTCATTATGACCAAATTTGGCAAAAAAACATAATTCAAAAGAATTTAAAACACTTTAGAATGATAGAGCATTAAACAACCATCAGTATCAGTTCAATTTACTTTTTGCTTTCATATTTCAAAATCTAATTTCATATACCTTCGTTGCTTTGCATGCTTTAAGAAAAATAAAAAATATATCATGAGACTTTTCCCCCCTGAATTAGAGAGCAAGTAGAACACCTCTGTTATTTCTGACTGAACAACAAACAAAAAACATTTCATGAAGTTTCACATACCCCAATTTAGCTTATTCTGCCGGAATTTTACTACCACTGGAGGTTTAAATTACCAGGTTTCCATAGTAAGCTGTCCAAAAGCATGTTCTCATTAACTCAGCCAAGCCTCACAGGAAGGCTGGACTCATGCACTAAGTCTCAAAGCAGGGGAATGGTGAGACTTAAAAGTAAAAATATCTACACATTTGGACTAATTTTCAACCAGTCAGTCTTCTGGTGTGTTTCCCAGAGCCACCTTACAGACTTGTGTGTTCTGCTGTAACGAGGCTCATACACACACAGCCAGCTCTCTGCACGTCCAGCGACCCACTTTTTATGTTCTTCTCCTTTGGGATAAAAAAGGAGGGGAAGACAAGAGAAGATGATGCTTTGCAAGTAAGTGTCTTAACATTTCAGTAGACTGTGTAGCAGTATGAGTGCTTCCTCTTCATCATTTTATATCACTGCATTCGTTTCACCACTCCATTCCCACCCTCAACAAAAAGCACATGCTGGCAGTAAACTTACTGTTGAAAGTTCATAGCTTCTCAAACTAGAAAATACTGCAAGAGATTCCACACAACTATCATCAACACTCTACTAGATCTTGACAAAAGCATCAAGGCTAAGAACATAATAATGATAATTTTACTATTTTTAATCCAGAACAATAATAAAAGCATCTTCTGTGAAACTAGGTTCAGTCAAACCAGGATTTATCTGGCCACCAAAAACCTCTTGAAAGTGATTTTGCACAGTAAAACAACTACTAATGGGTTTGGGAAAAACTAATGCTTTCAAATCATCAAACAAAACAGTGTGTTCAACTGAACGGCAAAGAGATCCTTTATTGAATAAACAACCCTGAAAGTATTCATAAACTTACTGATACAACATATATGACCTTTACTGAAAGGAATGAGACAACATCTGCTGTTTAACAATAATTTGGAGTATAAGAAACACTGAATTATTACAAAATAAACCCACACCCACACTTCAATCCCTCTCACAAAGTCTGAAAACGTGGAAAAGGAAGAGTGGGAAATCGCAACAGAAATTTCAAAGGATTTTGATTTATTATTGAGTTGGAATTTAAACTGTTGAAGCTCTGTAGCCACGTACATGTTTAAAGCACCCCATATATAGGACACTTTTATGACTTCAGAGACGTGAGCATTAGTTTTTGTGGTGTGCCAACACTGCCAATTATGTTCTTATTCTACGTGGATTGCGTTTGCATTCACAGGATAACTTAATACTTCACAGTACTGTAATGGACTCCACCTACTCTTTCACATTATTGTTACTATTAATCCTACATTTCTGCGAACTTATTCATATTGAATTCCAAAGCTCCTGAAGGAATAGTATGTGTCCAAATATGTCCTCACTCTGTGCCAACAGAACTCGGAAACCCAAAAACGCTTGTAAAGTCCTTTGCTACCAAAATGTCTCCACCAAAACAATACAGCCAATTTAAATTTCCCTTTCTTCTATATCATTGAGCAGAATTTTCTCAAGTTTGTCAAACTGAACAGAGTTCATCTTTCAACTTCCATTCCCAGTCATAGTCTTTTCGTAACTGAGGTGCATGAAATATGCAGCCATACCTCTTCTCAGATCTACAAGGCCACACAGCACTTGCACATGAAGCTGAGGGCATTAGGACAAGCGTATCCTAAATTCCACTATATAAGTACTTATTTGCTCAGTAATTAAATTTTCATATTCAACTGGTCAGAAAACTTTGTAGTAAAATGCTTTCACTTAATGTTTTGGGTTGTTCAGTTTCAGTGTAATTAAAGCCTTTCTTACGGTCAGAGACTTGCTGATGCCAAGAACAGTTCTCACTTACTAGGAATGTTTCCTTCTAAGCACATTCCCTTGAGTAAGAGAGCAAATGACACAATTGCTAACTTCTATAAATAAAGGAACAGTTTAAGATACCTAGTTTTACCCTTCCTCCATCTGCTTTTTCAGCCTTTTCCTAAGTGGAACGGGGGGGGAAAAAAACAAATGTGCACAGACACATATCCTATGCTCCCTCTACACTTAGATTCATAAGGCCCAGTTTTCCTTTTCTTGGTACCTGATTTTTATTATAGGGTACGTGTTTAGTGAGAAACTACAAACTTAATGTGTATGTTTAACTTACAAGTTTATTTTAGCTGGATTCACTGACTCAAAATGGATAGTTTAAACATTAACTTCTCGCTTCATGGTAGGCTAAGGCTGAGGACATTGGACCAGGTAACACTCCACCTTCTCAGGGCACGTACTTAAACCTCACAAGTAGCTAAACCAACACAGATTTTTAAAAGGTCAGCGATTAACTCAAATGACTGAAAAATTACAACGACTGACTGCCAGAGTTGAACAGAGCTCAGCTCAGCAGTTGAGTTCCCAAGCAGGTATGTAAAGTAAGTATTAGAAAAATCACATTACAGTAATTTCCAGATTACAACCTGGTGTGCTGCTCTCCCCATCCAGTTCCCTTCTAGCCTCCAGAAAACAGAAGGGCATACAAGAGGAGAATTCTTCCTTAACGTTAACAACAGCAGACAAAACGCAGTGTTAGGCTTTGAGGAGCAGTTACTGACTTGAGAAAATTAACTGGCATGGTCCTGCTCTCTAACCTTTTCAAGAACAGCAAAGAAAGACAGTGATGGTGGTTTTAACTGGCAGTAACTGACAAGTCAACTTCAGTTCTCAACGACACGGTGTGTGCTTCCTCTCGGGCATGTTACAGCTAAGCCCAGTGGCCAGCTGTCACTTGGGGCACGGCTTGTAATTTGCTTCCCTTTCTTAATCAGATTATGGCTACAAAAATCAGTTTTGGTAGCTTAAAGACAGTATTTTCTCAAGGCCCCAAAGTCATATATGTATTTATATATACGTAACAACTATTTTTAATACAAAAGACATAGCTTTTACAGATCAAGTCTGTCCTACAGAGTATCTCTGGAAGCACTAAGTTCTTGTGCCCCGTTTAAAGTGCTATTAGAAACAAAGAAAGATCCCCTCATAATAAATCACAGAATCATGAGAGTTGGAAGGTGCCTCTAGAGGTCATCTAGTCCAACCTCCCTGCCAGAGCAGGATCACCTACAGTAGATCACACAATAACCCATCCAGGCGGGTTCTGAAAGTCTCCAGAGAAGGAGACTCCACAACCTCCCTGGGCAGCCGGTGCCAGGGCTCTGTCATCTCACAGTAACGAAGTTCTCCCTCATATTTAGATGAACCTTCTTGTGTTCCAGCTTGTGTCCATTGCCTCTTCTTGTGTCACTAGGCACGCAAATTCATTCAGCCCACTACACTAAAGTCTGCAGCACACAAACTTGTCTTGGAGACAGTGGCATCATCTCTAGGCTGAAGCAATCACTTACACTGGTGAAATCCCCTACTACCAGACCTTGGCAGTGGGTATCACAGCAAGCACTGTTTCATACTCACCCTGTTTCCTGGACTTCTGCCTGGCAGCCCACAACTCCTGGTCTTGATTAGAATCTACAACACTGCGTCACTGGGTTAAAGGGGAACTATACAACACCTGTGAGATACGCTGAAGCCTCTTAGACAGTTCCCTTGGAAAGGTTCTTGGTTTTGCTCAAAGAGAAAATTACCAGATACGTGTAGTACTGATTAGCAGCTCCCTATAACTGTGCAAAGGCCGCCGAGTGGACAGTGCTCCTTCCCTATTACACGTCACTAATATGTTGCCCATAACAGCCTGAAACACCTTGAAAATGTGAGTGTACTCAACACAAAATCCACACACCATGTGCACACAGCTTACAGAGAATTCATATTCTGTCTTATTCTGTCAAGTTCTAAAAACACATTTCAAAAAAAAAAGAAAATTTGCAATGAACAGTGGGTTTAAGTCACTCACATCAAAACACTGTCTTTTACCGTGGCAGGATCAAAGAGCATTCCCTATACTAACGATGCTGCTGTCTGAATTTGGTTTGCTGTTGTGGCTAACAAGTCCTTATTTTCAGCTATTGTCTGCAGACAGATGGCTATGGCTACAAATCTGCATTCTGGAAATTAACATCCCGTTAGTAGAGGGATACAATTAAACTAGGTTGACTTATGCTAAAAATCCAACTGTGTCCCCATAAAATCATCCTGAGTTGCAAAAGTAACTTTTCTGGCTTCTCTTTAATGTAGTCTCTATTCAAAAAAGCATAGCTCTGCATCGGAGAAACTCCTCTTTGGACTGAATGAAGTATTAGGAAAACTCATCTCCAGTGGAAAGAGGCATTGCAGATTTTAAACTCAGCACACAGATGTACAGACTTGGTTGTTCCTGTACAAAAAAAATGGCTCCTTGAAATTTGTAAGATATGCCAATTTAGTTTAACTGCCCAGTAAAAAGAGCATGGTCCACATAATGTGGCATTGTTGGCATTCCACCTTTTAGCAGACTTCCTCAATACTGCAGGTCTTCTCGACTAGAAGTCACTTTACTAGTGAAGCTAGGAGTTTTGGAAGACCAGGTTCTTTTAAGTACGACACTTCACAAGCATGTATGCCTGATACATCCCCATTAATCTTAGTAAATAAGTATTAAAGAGCCTAAATGTTGCCACATCTATGCCCTTTCTTTTACTACAGTAAGTCTAGCTTATCTTTGTTCCTATGTGTGATAGAAAATGTTGACCTGTATTATTCTAGAAATAAAGATCATATCTCTTATTTGATCAGAAATCCCTTTGGGTTTTTTTACAATGGAAAAAGTCTTTTCATTATTCAACACTTCACAAAGTAAACAGGCACAAAATATTGCTTTTATATATTAAGAAACACAATAGTATCCTACTCACATCTGCATTAGGCCAGAGCTCTTTTATAACGTTTTCTATCCTGTTGACCACCTCCATCCGCATTCTCTCTTCTTCAGGTCTGGGAGACATATACTTATAAAAGTCAATGATTTCTTCATGAAGACTAGGGAGAAAAACAAAAACCAAAACACAAGAGAAAGTCAAGAAAAATTCCACAGGGGAATGAAATAGCAACTAGTCTAATCAATTATCCTTTTTAAGCTCCTAGGTACCTACTTAGTTAAGAGGCAGTTTAAAAGTAGCATGCAATTAAAAAAAATCCAGATTCACAAGCTTGGTAATGTATAGTTTCCCATTACCTTATTCCCTAGGTCAACGGCACACTGCATTTGCTCTAAGTATGGAAGCAAATCTAAATCCAAGCACCTTCAATTCACAATGGAAATCCCACTCTGTATTTTAACACCAGCAGAACACAGAAACGCTTCAGACTTCAACTACAAACGCAGCTGTAAGCTCTGAGTACGCACTTCACAAGAATTTAAACAGGAGGTTCTCAGCCAACACTTCCTAGTCAGCCCCTTGGCACCAGCTAGAGAGTTTCAGGCATCAGTTTGTATCCAGTCCCAAGCTTTTAAAAAGGTGACAGTAATTGTGCCAGTAGTAGAGCTAGAAAACCTGCTTCTTTTACTGCTTAGAGAAGACACATCAACTAAATAGGCACTCTCACTCCGTAACAAGAAAATAAGTAGTACACATGCAGCAGTGGTGGCTCAGAAGAATAGGTGACTTACAGACAGTTAACCCATGTATTTGACAGCTTACCACATTACACGTGCTTCTCTAAGTTATGTTCAGATTGCCTATGATTAGAGCTGAAATAAAATTGCCTTCACACAGTGCCACAAATTTCTAAGCTTCTGTAATATCAGAAACACATCGTCTTGACTAACAAGGTATTTAAAGAATCAGACACAATCCTTTAATTCCAGCCACCACAAAGTAGCTAAATTAATTTCATTTGATTCGATTTCTGCAATGACCATTACAGTAATAGCTAGTTATTTTTTTTTTAACGTATTGTTTCTAGTTACCAAGTACAACAGCATCTCTCCTCAAAGCTCTTAGGGACCATCAGAAGAGAGCTATTTATTAAGAGCAAACCCTTAGATGAGATGTGCAATCTAATACTTCCTCACTGCACACATGCTTAAATAAATGAAATGTTAATAGCTGGAAGTTGTATACAGGTGTCAACAAAAGACACTGAAATATCTGAAAGACGTATTTAACAGAGTCAAGGTAGGGATGGAGCTCAAACCATCTGCATTACTTTTTTCGATACTGCAGTGTTCTGAGCAACACAAACTTCTTTCTCTCAGACAGAGGAATAAAATACTTACATTACTTTTCACTGAGGATTTATTGGAATTTCCCCACACACACGTTTAAAGGAACAGTCACAAAACCCCGACAACTTCTGGTGGCCATCACCACGGTTCTCTATAGCCAATACAAAGAGAAAAGCTCTGACAGAGTTCCCCCAAAGGGAGATCCAGCCAGATACCCAATTTAGCTGTTCTCTATCCACCTTTGGAGAAGCTTTTCCTCCTTTGACACCTACAGAGGGTGCCCTAAAAATGCTTGAATTAAAAACTAAAATAAACAAACCTCCTCAGAAGATCTCTCCTGCAAAAATCCAAGTTGGCATCTCCCTCCTCTCCCCCTCCTTTACTGCCACACTGGTACCAAGCCCTGTTCACACACAACATCTCGGGTACCACAAAGATGTTCTGACCAACACAGCTGCAGTATTTATAAGTGATAAATGCTCTTTTCAGTATTTGTTTTTGGTATTGCTAAGAAATTTCTTACCTCCTCCTACAGATTCCTTACTTTTCCTTGGAAGCTAACAACCTGCAGCTAACGGGCACATCCCGAAACACCACTGCCATCCCTTATGCAGGCACCGATCCCTCTGTCCTTGGCTTTTCAGCCATCTCCCACTCTTCTATTCTTCACCGCTATTCAGCGTGTTGGCACTTAAACCCCCTTACAGCTATCCTCCCATTGCAAGATTGCAGATGAGAAGTAGGATATAAAGATAACTTCTGTTCAGCACTCCAACTACCAAGCTCACCCTCCATGTGTGTGCCAGTCAGTCAGCGTGCCAGTCACACATACGGAATTGCTAATTTAGTCTCCACCTATGCGACCATTAAGGTAGCACTCAAAACCAAGAGCAACAAGAAAAACAGGCACAAAAAATAAAACCAAACTCTAGAAAACACAAATTATTTTTCAACTGCAATTTGGTGAACCGGCTTGGAGGAAGACCTAGGAGTCAGCCCAAGGCTTCCTGCCATGTCTGGCAAACTCTTTACTTTTTTTGCGGGCTACATTACAGAATCACAGAACCACAGAATTATTGACCTCTGAGATCATCGAGTCCAGCCTATGACCCAACACCACCACATCGGCTAGACCATGGCACTAAGTGCCACATGTAGCCTCTCCTTAAACCCCTCCAGCGACAGTGACTTCCCCCTTCCCTGAGCAGTGCATCCTCTCCATGAGGAAGCACTTCCTGAGATCCAACCTAAACCTGCCCTGACGCAGTTTCAGGCCATACCATTGTGGGGCACTGGTCAAATGACACCGCCCTGTTCCTGCCTCTGCTCCTCTAGACTAGCTGGAACACACTGGTGACATCCACAAGGTGCACGATTTTCCCCAGAGCAGTATTTTTAGTAACATGAGATTGAGTGCACACATGTGCTGTGTGCCTTGAGGAGTAGCCCCAGGTTGTCTGAAGGCACTTCACAGCACAGGATAATACTGACATGCTGGGATAATACTGAGGGTCTATTCTGGGGGAGAAGGTCATGCACAGCACAAACCCACAGTGCCCATCAGTCGCTGGCCCAGCTGCTCCTGGGCTTCTGCTTTACAGGAGTTACTTGTTCCCCTGCTCCATAAGGGAACTTTGAGAGAAGAAGGCAATCGGAAAGGAGGTCCCCAGAGTGCACAAAGGGCCAAGCCACACAGACACTGCAGTTCTCAGGACACTTCTCTTTATTAACTCCATTGGCATTCCCAATCGAGATAATTCTATCAATTGGTGCACTCTTTAGAAGCACATAAAATAACAAAGCGTTGTCAGAACCAAATATAATTCTTTTTCTAAACATAAATAATCTGTCTGCACCTCTTTAAATGGGATGCTTCTCATTCTCGGGTAGTCGTACAAAGCATTACGGCAAACCAAAAACTTAAACAGCATGGAAACGCAGAGAAACTACCCTACACATGCACGGAACGTTGCTAAGCAATGCAGATGTAGAAAAAAATGAAATGCGAACTTTTTCAATTACAGAAGAAAGGCTTAAAGACTACTTGAGAAAGTTCCCATCAGCACAGCAGGTGGAAATCCTACAGGTATATCCGCGTTTCATCTGCTGCAAGGCTCCACGCTGCCAGCACCGCCTGTGCCGCACAGAGCCACAGCACGCAGAAGGCAGGCAGAAGCCGTAAAGGCTCAAGACTACACCTGGAACCGTATTTCCCTGCCCAGTAAAGGCTGCTGCCAAGAAATAAGGGAATGATTAATTAGAGCCAGCACAAACAAAAGTAGCCACATGCAGTTTTCAGAGCAGGACAACATGACTTAGAGGCGTGACTCCAATGAATGTGGAGTTAACTCAAGCTGTATTGAAAATTAAAATTCAAGGTTATTCACTGTCTTAATCAACATCTATTATAGTTGCTGTTTTTCAAAAAAATTTGGATTAATGGTGTCTCTGTTTACAAAAGTCTCTAGTGGAATTTTGTATCTTTAGCCAAAATGAAGATCAAAGAGACTGAGAAGTTATTTTTGGCATCATAACAGTATTTTACTATCTAATGCCATTACATTCATTAGTTATTCAGATAAGTCCTTAAAAGAATACTCATTTTTAGAAGGAAATTACACTGTAATAAACCTCATTTCACTATGGAGGGATATTTCATTTGGCTTTATAGCCATACTGAAGCATATCAGCACTCAAGACCTACTTAGGACACACAGAGAGAGTTCTCTGCAATGCACGAGTATTCGTTTCCTGATTTCATTACAGTAAATAGCAGTAAACAAGTGAGTCCTTGTTCTGCACCTCAGGAAATCTTAACACATTGGGAAAAGAAAAACAAAACTGTCTCTTACACTGTCTCTGAGTATGTTTTAAAACAAAATATTAGCTGCATCACACCCTGTTTTCAAGCCTGGTAAGCTGATTCCATCAGAATTTCACAGACAGAACAGAATTATAGAGAAGAGAAGCCACAATATTTAGTGGATTATAGTGGCTATTATGTTTACCTGACAGAGAGAGTGACGCACCATTAATGAATAAATTATGGCTGCAAAAGCTGTAATCACAAGAAGGACTTTCCACTGTAATATCACTGAATAGCACCATGAGGCACACAAATCTGCTAGACTCAAGCCATTTAGGTGAAAAGCCACAGCTTTTGTGCCAAAGCAAGCACTATGGAACCCAGCGTATTATATTTCTTAGTTTGATCAGACCTTACTTGAGTCTGTAACACACCTTCTGGGCTCTGAGTGTGTAAGTCAGGATTCGCAAACTAGTTTACATATATCCAACATGTTGTTATTCTGGAGTATGAATCTCAGTGCACCTCTAGCAATCAATGAAAATATAATCATGTACAAACAAAATGTTACTCCTGTTTTATAAGCACCGCACACAGACAGACACGTGGACAAGCACATATACTCGACCGTGCACTTCAGTTCCCTGACACATAGAGCAGCACAACTCGCTATTGCTTTAACTCCAGAACTGGAACCAGGAGCGGTACCGGGAGGCGCCACTTTATGGAACAGAATTGGAGATGCTGCGAGTTTCATTTCTCTGCAGGAGGATGCTGATGCAGGCTAAACGACCAGCCCCCTGCGCTCACAGCCGCCAGCAGCCTGGAGGAAGCGAGCCCGACACAACCACTGCCCAGCGCTCGCCACCGACCGGCACCGTGCCCCGACCTTCCCTGCCTGCCCCGAGCACTCGGAGGCAGAGCACGGTCCTGCTAAGCTGAGCAGCCAGAGAGGCAAAGATAATTCTGTCTAGCTTGGCTTCATCACAGGACAGCAGTTAAGTG